ATATATATATATATATATATATATCTAATTGACATACATAATAATTCTCACATACTGTACATACTTTATTTCAAAATATACAGTTAAGTTTCGATGATTGAGTTTTCTTATATTATATTAGAAGACGTTAAAAATATAATTGCTATACAATATTCGCAGAACTTGATCACAAGCAATTTTATATATCCCGCAAATAGATAATTTTTATACGTTACATATACAAACATATACAATGTATATACGTATAATTATTATACGCATTTTTACATTATTGCATAAGATGATTCGGAGAAAAATTCAAAAAATTGTCCTTTTCCTTTTTTTTTTCTTTTTTTCTTTTTTTTTCTTTTTTTTTTTTTTCTTTTTCTTTTTCTTTTACCTTGATATTATAATCTCTACAATCGCTGTGAAATAATTGGCTAACATTATAGAAATAATCTTTTTGTAGAACAAACAAAAAGGAAAAGAAAAAACGAGAAAATCAAAACACAAACGTAATTGTAAAAAAAAAATCAAATTAAAAAGAAAAGAATAAACATTTTTTACCTTTTTCGTATGATCAATAATAATTAATCAATTTTGTTTAAAAACGAGAAAGCCTTTAATACTATATAGTATGATTGACTTTTTTCCTTTTTTCTTGCTCTCTCTCTCTCTTTCTCTCTCTCTCTCTCTCTCTCTCTCTCTCTCTCTCTCTCTCTCTCTCTCTAGAAAAATATGAATCATTATTTTAATAATAAAAGTTTAAGGTCTAAGAAGTAAGCGGTGACATTCCAATAGCCCTAGGATCTTGTTGACCCGGTTGAGTAGGAGGACCTGGTTGTGGACCAGTTTCTAAATTCTTAAGAAGTTGATTCAACCAATGTTTGGTAGATGCATCCTCTTGTAAACAAGTTGCAAAGGTATTATCTCTTAATTGATCCGGTAAACATTGTCTCAGTGCTAATAAGGCTCTAAAAATAAATACAATATTTTATTTATATCTTTTATATATCCAAAAATATATTATATTTTATATATATACATATATATCAAAGAAGAAATATTATACACCTTGGATTATCGGAGAGTCTTAAGTAACATCTAACAACATGTTTTAATAATCTTGCTGATGGATCTTTTGCCAAGGACAATACCATTTTTCCTAATATCATAGCAACATGACTAAACCTATCATAAGTCTGACATATATAAGAAAGACCACTGTCATCTAACAAAATTTTTTGAAGGATAAAAGTTGCCACGGTTTTACTCAATTCCGAGCCACTTTCCATGATTCTCAAACAAAGTGGAATAATTTCTGTCGTTAATAAAAATGTTATTACTTCTTGCTCGTCCGTTTTGACCAATGCTCCTATAACTCCTAAACTCGTTAATCTTAGATATTCGAACGGTCTTGTTTTGCTTACGGTATGCAAAAATGGATAAAGGAACAATGGTACGTGTGCCTAAAATATAAAAATATTATTAAATAATTGTTCATTGAATTAACGCTTGTAGGATTTATAGAAAAAAAAAAGAAAATATATATATATATATATAAAATTATGAAAATTACTTGTAAAAAGGCCGATCTGGTATCTGGATGACTGGCAACGCATTGTAACAAAGCAAGTGCATTACATACACGATTGCTTTGATATGCGGTAAGTGTTGCTGGATTAATGGCAGGATAAATATTTATTATCTCTTGCAAGAGAGATGCAGTAGTACCAAAAGAGTGCCATAACATTGGTGCCAAGTCTGGCACTACCTCACGCTTTTTACTGAGCTCCAAAAGTGCATTTTCTCTGGTTTCAGGATTTGACAATTCAATGATCCATGTATAAACTTTTTCACGATCCACGCTCGACTGCAATGCTGCAGGACTTTGTTGAGAACTCATTTCAATTTTCCCTTACGAATTATATCTCACTTTATTAAATTTTTTCCCTTTCTTCGTAATTCCTTTCTCGACGAAAACAATAATATAAAATAAATTCGAACGAAATTCGAATATAATATTTCGTATTTCAATAGGTAATCCTATATATCATTACAATGCTACATTCTTTAATGTAAAATATAAACGACTTGATATAATTTTATCGTCAATAATATGCTTACGTGAAAAGATAAAAAAAATATATCAAATCATTTAAGATTTATCGTCACACTTGTTCACATAAATCATCATGTCCTTTTTATTTATAAATAATATTATTCCTTTCGTAATTAATACGTATTCCTTTAAAAAATTTTCTAATACGGCTTATTACAATTTGTTAGGTTATAAACGATAAATTCTTACGTGCAACATGAAAATCGTTGCAAGAAACATATGATACGTTTCACTCTTTGATACGATTAAAAGAAAATCGTATATTTTATAATGATATATATATATATATATATATTATGCGTTTACATAAAATATATATCCTTTAATGATTATTTAAGAAAACTCGCATCGGCTGTTTAACCGGATAGAACCAACTTTATCGAAAGAAATACAGCGTATGGAAACAGCAGCGCCACATAACCTCTATTTCATCGAAAGGAACACCGTATGAAAACAGCAGCGCCACATATAACCTCTATCTTATTTTCATACATGACGAATACATGTAAATAAATATTAATAAAAATATAAATATTTAAAATTGAATACCTTATGTGAAATCAATTCTATCATTTTCATTCGAATTTCATTAATATTATCTTGATCTTAATATTAATGAACGGCAAAAGGATTTACGAAAATAAATATTTTCTTTTGATATGTGGCGCGCCTTTTTCTTTCTTTTTCTTTTTTCTTTTTTTTTGTTTTTTTGTTTTTTGTTTTTTGTTTTACATAACTAACTAAAACTGACATCAATGTAGTTGAATCGTTCATTGATAAAAAGTGAAATATAATAGAATCGAGAAACATCTATATATATATATATATATATATATATATATATATACTTGATATTTATGAAAAATGGTTAAAAAAGATGGCTCGGCAATTAAATTCGTACCTGATAACTTCGACGAAAATATATTCTTGACGATAGTATTATATTTCATTAAAAAAAAAAAAAAAAAAAAAAAAAAAAAAAAAAAAAAAAAAAAAAAAAAAAAAAAAAAATAGAAAAAGAAAAAAGAAAATAAATGAATTACGCTAAATAATCTATGTACGACCGATAAAATTGACATAATTTTTGTACGATGAACTTGCAAAAAAGACACTTGCAATATTCGTAATATAATTATATTTCTTTGTCAAATTTATGACAAAGTTAAGATAGGATATTAAATTGTCTGATGGACTTTGAAATAATATATATATATATATATATATATATATATATGTACATAATAATTGCTCCTTAACAAATAAGTCATCATTTTTAAAAAAAATGTGATTTATTATAAGAGTCTTTAAAATTACCAATCGAATGGATATATTTGAAGTTCAAAAAAACAGAAAAACTTCTGCAAAGGAAATTTCAAGAAAGTTGATGGTTACAGTGCGTTTTCTTTTTCTTTTTCTTTCTCTTTTTCTTTTTTTTTTTCTTTTTATTGATACAAGAATATTACGAAAGAAAACAAAGTATTTTTCTCGGCGAGTAATGTGAAAAAAAGAAAAAAGAAAAAGAAAAAGAAAAAGAAAAAGAAGGAAAAGAAGAAGAAGAAAAAAGAAAGAAAAAATATTTCAATAACATGATAAATATTGTTCAAGAGTCAATGATTAATAATTTCGTATTGAAAATATTTCTACGTAATATTTCCTTCTTTTTATGCATTTATTAAAATTTTTCTTCATACATTTTATAATCTTTTAAATATACCTATTATCATTGTGTTCAAGCTAATATCTAAAATTATTAATCATTGTAACGACATTGAATTTATTTTTTTTTTTGTTTCTTTTTTCTTTAAAAATAAATTTCCAGCCATTTTACACGCATTTAAATTTTCTTGATGAAAATTTAAGAGAAAAAAAAAAATGAAAACGATTTACAAATATTTAAAATAATCGCATGGATAATTTGTACGTTTTCAATATATCGAAAATATAAAATATTAATTACGATCGTATCCAAAAACAAAGATACAAAATATATAACAATAATCCAATCAATTATTATTTATTACGATAAAACGAAATATCTAGTCCATTATCAATATTCTCGATAATATTTCTATCGTTATTATTGAGTATACTTTTATCTACGGGTATTATCATTTCTTCTTGTTTAAAATAAAAATTATCATTCACATAAAATACATTAAATATACGCATACATAAATACATATGGATGTATATATAAAAATATATGTAAGTACGTATGTACTTACATTACATATATACAATATAATATATAATGTAATTACATATATGCAATACCGAGTAAAATTTCGTAACTTCGTTTTATTGTTAATAAACTTATTATTAATGTTCGTATCTTGTTAAGTGTCATTGAAAATATTATCGATATTATTCGATTAATTTCGCGAATATTTATTTAATGGAATAATAAATCTAAAATTATAATTCGTATGTTAATAATTAATTCAAAAATTTTATTTCCTTGACGAAACTCGAATATAATCAAGTTCACGATGAATAGGGCTATTTAATCGAATATAACAACAACAACAACAACAAATTTGTATATATAGATAAATTCTGTTCAGTATATATGTATTCTGTTTTATCCTTTCCTTTTCCATTTACAAATAACTTTTTTGCGATAAAAAAAATTATTCGCGATAAAGAGACTTACGTAATAATAATATATGCGAATAGTTGAGATTCTCTTTTTTTCTTTTCTGTAGATTCTCGTTGTAAAGCACGAACAGAACGAGATGGAGGGGGAAGGTGAGTGGAATAAACGGAAAAAATGCACAAGATAATGCAGTTTATGATACTTAGATGAAAGGGCATCTACTAGTCATAACATATAATCATAAGCGTCATTATGTATTATCCTTATCCAGATACGAACAATTAATCGAAGGACAATCGATAGTAAGATGATAAAAAGAAAAAAAAAAAAAAAAAGAAAAGAAAGAATTGTAAAAATCTTATAAACGATCATTGGACCAATTAGTATTTCATTTCATTTTTCTCTCTCTTGTTTTCTTTTTTTTTATGTTTTTCTTTTTTTTTTCTTTTCTTTTTTTTTTTTCTTTCTTTCTTTTTTGCATAGATAAACCAACGAACTAACGTGAATTAAAAAAAAATTATTTTTCGAACTTTTTCATTGATTTTTCACGTCAATTTGAAATCTTATATCCATTATTATATCCATTAAATATATAAGAACGCATTAGATATTAAAATATATAAATATAATCAAATGCAATTGTTATCATATCCAATTAATTTCTTCGATGGAATAATATTAATGTTATTTCGAAATATCTTGGAATATTCTCACGTGGTTTACGTAAAGTCATTCATACGAACGAGAAGATATCTTCATCGAGTATGGAGCATTTTCCGTCTGCTCCTGATAATGCGAGTTGCGCGACGTGATTTTCCCCTTCCCTTTTCACAATCCTTATCTTCCTAATCCATTTCTCATTCTCACATTTTCATTCCCGAAATTTATTCATATGATTACACGGTTTAGAGATGACATGCCATTTTTTGCCAATGTGCTTTGTGATTACGAGAAAAAGATAAAGAAAAACAAAAAAACAAAAAAAAAAAAAGAAAAAAAAAAAGAAAAAAAAAAAGAAAAACATACAAATAATTTTGTGGTACAAATAACAAAAGAAAAACAGAAGAAGAAGAGCACGCTCGTTGAAAGGGAAGAAGGGGAAAAAAAAAAAAAAAAAAAAAGAAGAAGAACCGAATGAAAATCCAAGTTAAAACTTCTCGAACACTTTGATCGTTCGTGATTTCTTCTTCTTCTTCTTCTTCTTCTTCTTCTTTGTTTTGGGAAATAAAAAATAACGAATGATGATTTGATATATAACGACAAGTAAAAGTTACAAACGTAAAACGAAAGATAAATTAGAATATGTGTCCAGGTGATCGACTAAATAAAATGATATATACGTTATCGTTAATAACTTTAATTCATCATTGATAATTAAGCATAATAACTTTAACTAATCAATGATATTGATCCGTTGGGGAATTATAAAATGTTACGTATGGCGATCATGGCGGACGCTGACGTTCATTTCATTACGCTTATATATTCTAACTCCATGTAAGTATATATCTGCGGAGGTGTTAGCTGGCAAGGGTCATCGACAAGGTTATCATGCAATGTTGAAAAAGTAGGGAGATTTTTTGTCCCGAGGACAAATCAGTTGGCCGTCGTAGACATCGATCGGTCGAGTACGACGAGTAATTCTTAAGAATACAGTCGGTGGTAGAAAAGTTCTCATCGCATTTGGTCTTCCTATTTTCTTTTCATTTCATTTCATTTGATTTTATTATTATTCTTCCTCTTCCTTTTCCTTTTCCTTCTCTTCTTTCTCCTCCTCCTTTTTTTCATTTTCTTTCCTATTTTTTCTTTCGAACGTTTTTCATACTCTTTTTCGATTTGATATTAAAATATCGAAAATTTTGCGTGCGTGCTAAGAAGAAGAAGAAAAAGAAAACAGAAGGAGGAGAGAGAGAGAGAGAGAGAGAGAAAGAGAGAGAAAGAGAAAGAGAGAGAGAGAGAGAGAGAAAGAGAAAGAGAGAGAAAAGAATAAAAAAGAAAATTTTAATCTCTCGTTTGTTCGAATGTTTAACATTTTCAAAATGAAATCCGTGGAAAAAAATGTGACGGTCCAAAAGGATCAAACAAATTTTTTAAAAAATTGGTACGTTTGGATCATAACCATAGTGGGACTGTCAAGTTTCTTTTTAATAGTGATATTTTGGTGTACGAATATATTCAAGAACACTATATTATCGAATTTAATAATAGAAAAGGGTACGACGAACTTTGATTTCTGGGAACGTCCACCTGTCAGTTTGATCTACAAATTTTACATCTTTAATTATACGAACGTAGAAGATTTCGAGAGGGATAAGGCAAAGAAACTTAGAGTCGAACAATTGGGACCGTACATTTATAGGGAAACAAAGAAACGCGTAAACGTTCAGATGCACGAGAACGGTACGATAAGTTATCAAGAGGAAAAATCATATCAATGGGAAAGTGGAAATCCTGACAATGAAATGATCATCGTACCAAATATTCTACTTTTGGCGACTATTTCCCATTTCCGAAATTTACCAATTACCACCAAATTTTTTTTAAACATTGGCATGTCAACGTTAAAACTAAAGACATTTTTAAATCTCACTGTTAGGGATTTTCTTTGGGGATACGATGACAATCTTTATAACGTCTTGAAATCATTTAGCTTGTTAAACCATCTGTCTTTCGAGAAATTTGGAATTCTAGTCGGTGTAAATATACAGATATGTATATATATATATATATATATATATATATATATATATATATATATATATATACAAATTTTTTTCTTTTATTATTTATTATCATTTTTAATTTAATTATTACAAAAAACATCATTATTGTCTTTTAAATGAAATCGATAATTTCTAATATAAAATTTCTTTTCAATAATTATTCAAATCCGATCTATCCTATCTAAACCAACTATTTATCTTGTTTTATGATTATAGTACAATGGAACCTCGAAGGATCGTATCACTATAAATACAGGTTCAAATAACATCGATTATCTTGGCATAATCGATAACATAAATGGCATTAATATTCAAAATATTTGGGGTGACGATAGATGCGATAGGATTTATGGCACTGACGGATCGATATTTCCACCGAAATGGATTGACAATTATAGTACTCCTCTTTACATATATGTTAAAGAATTATGTAAACCGTTGATCTTTCATTTTCGTGAATACAGCATGGTCCAGGGAATACCTAGTTTGAGGTAACTATAGTTAGTCCAAAAGAAGAAAAAAAAAAAAAAAAAAAAAAAGAAAAGGAAGAACACCATATGAGAATTTTGTACAATGAACATTTAACGATTATAACGAGAATTTTTTAATCGTTCAGATACAAAATGTCAATGGACTCGTTAATGCAATCCTCGACGGATTCCTGCTTTTGTCCAAAAATAATGGAAAACGATGAATGGAAAAGAAAATGTCCACCTAATGGATTTTTTAATGTATCGACGTGTAATTACGGCGTACCGATATTAATTTCCTTTCCGAATTTCTATGGTGTTGATCAATCGTCGATAGAATCGATCGATGGATTGAATCCGAACGAAACTCATTACGAGAGTTTCTTGGATTTGCATCAGGTAAGCTCATACTTTTTTTTTTTCTTGTTTTTTTTTTAGAGAAAAGAGAGAGAGAGAAAAGTCAAAAAAAAAAAGAAAAAGAAAAAGAAAAAGAAAAAAGAGAAAAATATATAAGAAAAATTATTCTTTTATTTTCTAGTTTTTTGCCGTACCAATGAACGGCTCGTTGAAGATACAATTGAACATTGAAGTTCAAAAAGTCATTGGTATGCCGTACACCGGTAAACTTAAAGACGGCACGATATTACCAATCATATGGTACGACAATACACTTGACGTATTACCACAAAAATTTATTAATATTTTCTTTGGCAGTCATTTTCTTATAATGATCATTGAACTAGCCTTTCGATGGGGTAGCATTCTCATATTTTTAAGTTCCATTTGTCATGCTCTCTTCATAATTCTACGAAAATATTCGATAAATCGATTATGTGTTATTATGTGAAATTTTTTAACGAACAACGAACTAATAGAAGGATGATAAATTATAGCCGTCGCCTTCTCCTCTTCTTCCCCCCCCACACACACCCCATCCCCATCTCCATCCCCACCACCACCATTATCTGACTTTTCCCTGCATCTAACTCCAATTTTATCTCAATTGACAAAGTTCAAAAGAATATTTTTTTTAATTCATTCATTCGTTTACCTCGAATGAAGTTATAGCGCGATAATAGAGATTATTAAAATAAGACAATATCAATTTATTCATAAAATTATTCATTGACGTTCAACAAGTAAATCGTATTTTTCTCATTGTGCGAAATACAAACGTATAATTAATGTAAATACTTTTAAATAACTTTAGATGGAATATGTTTAAATGATAAACAATTATTACGAACGATTGTTATATTAAATTTGCATTTATTTTCATGCGTCTTCAATATCGTTTATAATTATCGTGATGATATAGACCGTCCGGCATTTCTTGCCTCTTACATTTATTAACGTTTTAATAAACGTATACGTCGATACAAACGCGTGAACTACTACGTAATCCATGTAACGTATGTTACACGCATATACATATGTATATATATATATATTTGATGAAACTAATCCTTCCACGAGAAAGAAAAAATACGACATATATTTTTGTCGTTATGATTCTTAAGGTCTCTAGAGGTCGGCCGATGGACTAACAACGCGATTTATGTTATCGCGATCTATCGTAAACCAGTAATATTCGTCTGTTAAACAATCTTACGATTTCATTTATTCGCTTTAAAGAACATATATATATATATATATATATATATATATATATATATGTATATTTAAATAAAAAATATCTTTCTAATATTGGCATTGAATTTATTTATGAAAAATGCGTGTCACGATACAAGAAAGGGGAAAAAAAAAAAGAAATTGAAAAAACAAGAAGAAGAAAACAAAAATGTCCAGAACGTAAAGAAAACTCGAATTACTGATTATATATATATATATATATATATCGATTTGTTGGAGTGTTAAAATAAAATAAAATAAAAATAAAAAAAAAAAAGAAAAGAATAAAAAGGAAACATTCTCAAGGAACTCATGATCGACGTACCCGTTCGATTAACTTTATCGCAAATGCACACGTATTATCATATTGGTAATCATAATTACCGTCGATAACTAAGTAATTAATCATTGCATTATTATCGAGTAGGATTTCACTCGAATAATTTGATTCGTAATGGGCGATTAATATAAGAAAAAATAAAAATGTAGGAAGAAATAAATTAGAAGAAAATAATATAGAGCTATGTAAACGTAATGGATGTAATATAGTATCGAAGTTATTTAATAGATGACTAAAAAAAAAAATGTTCTTTATCGAATACTTCGTTCGTTCGTTCGTTCCTGAGAGAGAGAGAGAGAGAGAGAGAGAGAGAGAGAGAGAGAGAGAGAGAGAGAGAGAACATTCTACTGATAATAAAATATTCTTGGGACTAAACGATATTTCTAATCGATTCGAGAAACATATAATGTTATGTTAATCGTTTGATTTAGAATTATCATTCCTACGTAATTGATAATATTCTTATAAATTTTCTTTTTTTTTCTTTTTCTTATATCATTGAATTTGCTAAATCATATTTATCTTTAAATAATCACTTTGAATAATAATAATAATGATAATAATAATGATAATAATAATAATAATAATAATAATAATAATAATAATAATGAATATGTTTTAATTTAGGTAGAGTTATTAAATTATCATAAAACAAATTTTATAAAATTTATGCGAGATTAGACGTATACGTTAAAATGATATTTTAACAGCGCGTCGATGTTCGACATTGAAAAGAAAAAAGAAAAAGAAAAAAAGAAATAATAATAAAAAAGGATAAGTAAAGGAGAAATGTGCGGTTTTTTTTTTTTTTAAATGCACGCTTACGTACCGTCGATAAGTGCATATATATATATATATATATATATATAAAAGAAATTGTGAAATTTCTATATATATATATATATATATAAAAGAAATTGCGGAATTTCTACATATATATTGTAAAATATATATATATAAAAGAAATTGTGAAATTCGGGATAAACTTATGAATAAAATCATGATTGATTATGATAAATCATGATTAAACGATGTAGAAAGAAAACAAGTAAGAGAGAGAGAGAGAGAGAGAGAGAGAGAGAGAGAGAAAGAAATAAATCAGAAGAGAACGGTTTAGAAACGACTTTATTCCCGTTGACCAAAAGTATTAAGAAAAAAAAAAAAAAAAAAAAGAAAAAAAAGAAATAAGAAAAAAGAAGTAAAAGAAATAGAAATAAAACTAAAATAAAAAGAAGAATTACCATCTCCTCCTATTTTAATTGTACGTCGATTATAACTTACCTTTCTATGGTGTATGTTCGTAAATGAAAGCGCGAAGAGAAAAGAAAAAAAAAAGAAAAAAAAATAAAAAAAATAGAAGGAGAGAAGAGGGAGAAAGGGGATGTAAGAATATAATGGATTAGGGGATTAAGTGATTTAGATGATTGAACAATGATTGGGAGGAGGGATCACGAGCGAAAGAAATCAAATTCGTCGGCAAAAGGTTATTTAACGAAATGATTTCTAAAGAGTCATGAACGATCGAGAGGAAATGACGATCGATAATAATTATCAATACATATTAACTCGAATCAAATTTTTCCAAATTTTTCCAATTGTTCAATTATAAAAACCAGTCACCGCGTTATACATTTAATTTTTCGTATTTGCTCCTTAGAGAGAGAGAGAGAGAGAGAGAAAGAGAAAGAGAAAGAGAAAGAGAAAGAGAAAGAGAAAGAGAGAGAGAGAGAGAGAGAGAGAGAGATAAGGAAAAAATAAAGAAAAAAAAAATAGCGACGGAAGAAAAAAGAAACCGGAAGAAAAAACAAACGGATAACCTTTGCAAAAGTGTTTTTTCGTTTTTTTTTTTTCTTTTTTTTTTTTTTTTGCAAACGATTTACCGTGAAAAATAAGAGATGTGTAACAAGTGTGTTCGAACAAGATCGATCGATCGTGAAAAGATCGAGAATTAACGTTGTTTCTTTTTGTTTTTTTTCTCTTTTCCTTTTCTTTCTTCCTTTTTTTTTCTTTCTTTCCTTTTTTCCCTTTTTCCTCCTCCTTTCATATCAACGTCTTCTATTTCTCTCTTTCCCTTACGATAATTAATTAATTAATTAATTAATTAATTAATTAATTACATTGATTCGTTAGGGCAATTTGTACGATCATTATTGTTCGTTCATCCATAATACGATCGTGCATTTAGCACAATACATATTATAATATTTTTGGCATCCTACGACGATTATTATCGTACAAAAATAATACTAATTATATTAGGATTAATCATTTCTTAACTTAACAACACGTTTACGATATATATATATATATATATGTATACATATATAAAACATATCTATACAAATGAATAACGTAAGATCATCGTACATTCTTATTTAAAGTAATAATAATTATAATAATAATAATAATAATAATAATAATAATAATAATAATAATAATAATAATAATAATAATAATAATAATAATAAAATCGCACAATAATAATAATAATTATAATAATAAAACCGCACAATAATAATAATAATAATAATAATAATAATAATAATAATAATAATAATAATAATAATAATAATTACAATCGAAGAACACCGTCTTTCGATTTATAGTTTTCCTATAAGTTCGTCGTTTTACGAAACCAAGAAATAAAAAAAAAAAAAAAAAGAAAAAAAAGAAAAAAAAAGAAAAAAACCAGTTTCGTTATCGGCGATTATGTATTTATTATCTTTACAGATCTCTCTTTTTCTTCTTTTACAAAATTTTAATACCTAATTTAAAACACTGGTTTAGAGAGCGTCTGGACGGATTGACACATTATAGTTGAATTCGTTAAAAAAAAAAAAAAAAAAAAAAAAAAACAAAACAGACTAAAAAAGATCAAGCCGACGTCGTGTATCCAACCCCACCCATTCACCCACCCATTTCAACCCTATTAACGCTTCTCACGAATTCTAGAATGAATTATAATAATAAAAAAAAAAAAAAAGAAAAGAAAAAGAATAAATGAAAAGAAAAGAAGAAAGAAAAATAAAAAATAAACAAAGAAAAAGAGAAGGATTGATAAAACTACGCATCCCGAACTCAGACGATCTTTCGATTTACTATCGCATCGATCGATATATCCAAGTATCGAGGTCGATTATAAAATTCGTTCGATATAGATTTTGCATTTCTCTCTCTCTCTCTCTCTCTCTCTCTCTCTCTCTATACTTTCCTTTTATATTCTCGCACTTTTGTCGAAATAAGGCGAAAGTCCACACGTCGAGATCCCTTCTTACATATACGACATATATGTTAAAATATGTAATAAATATCACTAATGTCGGATCGCATTAACAAGCGAAGAAAATTCTTCCCTTTTTAAGATTCTAATTCGAATCGTCTGTCTCGTTAAAAAAAACACGCGTAAAAAAAATAATATCCTACGGATTCGAGAACGTTGGTAGAGAAGAAAGAAAAAAAAAAAAGAAAAAAAAAAAAAAAAAGAAAAAAAAACGAAACGAAAAAAGGAAAACAAGAAATAATAAAAGTATAATAAAAAGAGAACAAAGAAAAAAAAATAAAAATAAGAAGAATAAGTCGCAAAAAAAAATGGATGGGTTTAGGATGGGTTTATGGTTAAGAAAAAAAAATTAATTGGAAAGTTTTTTGACGGACGATTCGAACTAAATTGCATTCAATATCGATGATGAATTTCTCTCTCTCTCTCTCTCTCTCTCTCTCTCTCTCTCTCTCTCTCTCTCTGTCTATTTCTCTAAAAAGATGAATTTTATTTCGACGTTTGAAATGCTGGATTCAGTTGACCAGTTTTGTTGTTAGTCGTATTCGCCGGCAATGGATTGCTCAGGTGAAGTTTTTCTTGACGTTTGGCTGCTCGTGCCAAACAACAGAGAGCACCAATTAATATGATCACACCAAGAGCCGCCAATCCTCCTGATACCGCAGCTCTAGCGACAGGCGGCAAATCGACCGCCATTTTTAAGAGCGAACGCATCTCCGGTGGTAGCTCATCGATTACCTGAAAAATAAATGCGATATATTTTTGTTCTTTCTTTTTTTCTTTTTTCTTTTCTTTTCTTTTCTTTTCTTTTTATTCCAGATTTTCGTCCCCTCTTCAATGCCCTCTTAATTCGCTAAATTAATTAATTTAAGTCATTATTAAATGTCATTTACTTACTATTACTTTTTCTTTTTCTTCTCTCTTTTTTCTTTTCGTTTAATTTATTTATTTTTTTTATTATTATATATATATATATATATATATTTTTTTTTTATTATTGAATCAAAAATAATACGAATCATGTAAATCCTCTTTTCCGAGATTTTTTAATCCCACCTGTTATTATTTTCCATTCACAAATGTATTACTTTTGAAAAGAAAGAAAGAGAGAAGAAACAAAAAAAAGAAAAAGGAGAAAAAAGAAAAAAGCACTTATACCATTAAAAAAACTTTTGCAAGTACACTTGAAAGTAATACATTCGTAAGAAATTAAATCGATTGCTTGAAAATGAAGAAAAGAAAGGAAGAAAAAAGTTAAAATTAAAGGCACAAAAAAATTGCGTAAAAATTCATAATATTAAAATAAAAATTCTAATGGAATATATTATCTTGATTTTCGATTGGTCTTCATCTAAATTCAAAAATCTGAATAATATTTATCGTTTCGTTCGTCGTTATAAATAAAAGGATCGATCATTAAATGATTTCAATTCAACAAATCTGTCAGAAGTAATACTGATATAATCGATGCGATTCTTTCGAAAACAAAAAAAAAGAAAAAGAAAAAAGAAGAAGAAAAAAAAAACCATAAACATTGCAACGCGTCGCGATTATTGCTGTCTCTTTCTATAGTTTTACGTGGAGCGATCATCGGAATGTTTCTCAAATAAATACACTGTAACATTAGTAAACCATTCCTAATGTTTATTGTTTGCATTGTAACAGCCATAAATGAGAAAGAAATACGTTGCTCGATACGTAAAACGAGTCATTGCATGGAATTGTATCGTAAAAATTCAAATTGCTATTAATTTTGACGTATGAGAGATATTATTCGAATGAAATATGAATGAAAACGCGATACATTGAAATTCGATTGATTGATTGATTTTGATTGATAAGAGAGAGAGAGAGAGAGAGAGAGAGAAAGAGAGAGAGAGAGAGAAAGAGAGAGAGAGAGAGAAAGAAAAAGGAAAAAAAAAATAATAAAAAAAAGAAATACCTCGATCGATCAATTTATTATCATTTTTCAATCAATCGGAAAGATTTTATTCGATTATTTGCATGAAATATCGTGAATAAATGATTAAGTAAGTATCGCACGTAGCGATAAAACAAACGAGAAAGGGATGATTTAAAATCGATTTACATTATGCAAAAGTGGGAACGTTCGAAGATCTAGACAATAATAATTACAACTACTACAACAACAACAACAACAACAGCAACAACAATAATGACAAAGGTAACGATTAACACAAGGAAGCTTCTTTTAGAAAGAAAGATAAATGAATGTGTTTAGTTGTCGATCGTTGAGAAAAAAAGAAAAAAGAAAAACGAAACATAAATAAAAAGCAATATGGTGTAATAGGATGTAACATGGGATAGTATAATGCATATAAAATGCAGAAACTATTACTATTGCTCTTGCTGTTATTGTTGATGTTGATGTTGCTGATGTTACATACATACATATACATACATATATATATATATATATATATATATACATATACGGAGTGTATACATAATAACTTACATCATCGAACCACATGATTGGGAAAATGATGTCGGGGAAGGAGGCAACTTGTTTGATATCCCGCACCTGGCTCACGGCAAGGTTTATTTGCATCCTTGCTCGAGCCCTAAGGGCCGTGCCCATCATTGGTTGAACGTCGATATAGAGCTCATGCTTTTCCTGTTCAGCTGGCGACACACCTATCACGGCTTCTCTCAATGCAGGATCGGCTGGAGAGAAAATAAAAAAAAAAAAAAAAAGAAAAAACAAATAAAAAAATAGATTACCATTGTTAACGTCGATGAAAAGGGAGAGAGAAAAAAGAGAGAGAGAGAAAGAGGAAGCAGACAAAGAGAAAAAAAAAAGGAAGGAAGGAAGGAGGAGAAAAAAAAAATAGGAATGACAAATTAACAAGAAAACTCGACAAAAATCTAACAACGAGAATTAATTCTAATTCACGTATCCCTTTCCCCCCCCCCTCCAATCGCCACTATCCCCTCCGCCACCTTCTCTATTTATTAGAAATTTTCTTTTAATAGAAAATAATTCTATCGAAATATTTAAAAAATTAAAATATTTCAAAAAAATTCGATATACTTCACAAACAAATAAAATAAATTATACTCATATTTTAATAATACAAGTTATTAATTACGTTTTAAATATTTACATTGTAAATATCAACGTAATTATAAATATAATAATAAAGTAATACGTGAATAATTTATCCAAGGATAATAATCCAATTGAATGAAATTATCGTTTAATAAATTATTATCGTTAAACAAATATATTCTATTAAATATCTAACGATTGACATATATTGTGGGAGATGTAATAGGGAAGATATGGGTAATGAAAAGTAGTAATAATAATAATAATAATAATAATAATAATAATAATAATAATAATAATAATAATAATAATAATAATAATAATAATAGTAATAATAATAATAATAGTAATAATAATAATAATAATAATAATAATAATAATAGTAATAATAGTAATAGTAGTAATAGTACTAATAAGAGGAATTCGTTTTCTGTCGAAATATCATTCCTATAGATCATAAGTGAGCTCGATCTTTCACCGTTCCCTTTCCTTTTATCCCCCACCCTCCCTCCCATCGCCCTCCTCCTCCTCCTCTCTCTCTCTCTCTCTCTCTCTCTCTTGTATCGTTTGCATAGTGACAATTAGATTCGATTCGAAAGTAAAAGGAAAATTCAAAGATTCGTCGAGTCGTTGACAATTCCTATCATCGTCATCGTCGTCATCGTCGTCGTGCAATAGTCATCGTTTCTATCTCCTTTCCCTCATTTTGTTTTTTGTTCTTTTTCTTCTCTTCCTCTTCTTCTCACGAAACAAAAAAAAAAAAAAAGAAAAAACGATACCTACTCGTGGTGTAATTCCGTGGGAGTATCGCGGTCACGAGTCTCACGATGCTTCGTCGAATCGAGTAGTTATTGTTGAAACGGGGAACAACACAACGACAAAAGGGAAAAGACAGAGAGAGAGAGAGAGAGAGAGAGAGAAAATAGAAATAGGTCTCATGGGTAATGTTTCGCGAAACCGGAAGTGAAATAGACAAGACGATGACTTACGAAATAGCATGAGCTTTCGAACGCACCTCGTAATACGCATATAAACTTTCACTTTTTCCCTAGCTAGATAATAGAACACGTAGGATCGATCGATCGATCGATGGATGGATGAATGGATGGATCTATGGATGTATGGATGGATCGATGGATCGATGAATTCTATTGGTATTCGATCAGGAAAATTTCAATGAACTTTATTTACCATAATTATTATTAGACTTGTATTGCTCCTAATCAATTATATTTTTCTCGATAAATTCGATACTATCTAATCGTAATACTCAAGTACAAGTAATATTAAATTTATCCAAAAACTCTCTCTCTCTCTCTCTCTCTCTCTCTCTCTCTCTCTCTCTCTCTCTCTCTGTTTCTCTTTCATAATTATTACATGCGTGCCAATAATTATAAAAGTATTCTAAGTGAATTGAAACTTTAATATTCGTATGAGATTAGAGTAAAAAATTTCACTTTTATAAATTAAATTTTCATTAATCAAAAATAATCAAATTTCATATTAAAATGTTAAATGATATAAATATATTCTCTTAATTTATTCAAATGTTATCCCTTTAAATATCTCGAAATAAAAAAGAAAAAAAAATATGTATATATATATATATATACATATATATCGTTTAGATCACTTTCATAATTATGGGCACATATAATATTGTTTTTTTTTCTCTCTTTTTTCTTTTTTATTTTCAAATTCTTTTCAAATAAAATTTATAAAATGTATAATTTTTCTTATCGTTATGGATATACGAAAACGAATTCTCCTTCATTTTTTGCAAAAAAAAAAAAAAAAAAAAAATTTTAAACTAAGTAATGGTAAGTAAGAGAAAAAAAGGAAAAGAAAATGTCAAGATATATAAAGAAGAATAATTTACCCATATAAAAGTGTGGAAAGCTAAGTAGTACGGGTGAGTCGTATTGACAGACTGAAACATTGAATGTTCCCTCAGGTGCACATGGTGGACCGGCAGGACAGAAACATTGTTGAGAATGTACTTTGTCAGGTGAGGCAAAGACATTCGTTGGTGGCGTAAATCTGTATCCAGGAACTCCCCCGGAAGTCGTCACTTCTTTCTATTAAAAAAAAAAAAAAAAAAAAAAAAAAAAAGAGAAAGGAAATCCGATCATTAGTAATTCCAAAGGAACAAGAAAGAAAGAAAGAGAGAGAGAGAACCTATACAAGATTTCTCTGTTATTGTTTCATGTGAGAAAGACCACTTTCTCATGGTATCACTCGTTCCTTCAAAATTAATTGCTTTATTTTACGTTTAATCATTGAATAATCAAATTTAGTTAATTGGAAAAAAAAAAAAAAAGGAAAGAAATTGCTTCACTCCTGACACCGAATTGAAAGAAAAAAAAAAAAGAAAAAAAAAGAAATATTTAATAATAATAATAATAAAGAAGTAAAAGATTTAGTCGTTCTGAAAAAAAAAGAAAAAAAAAAAGAAAAAAAAAAAAAAGAAAAATTGTCTTTATCTTTTTTTAATTTTTTTTCTTCTTCTTTTTTTTTTTTTTTTTTTTTGGGTGGGTTTTTTACCTGAAACACCAAAGGTAAGGCTCGGCAAAGATCCTTGTCGAATATCTTAAGAACGGTATCCTTTGTTATGTGAGGTGGAAAGATACTACCATCGGTACCCATTATACTGTCGCAACTTGGGCTCGACCAATGGCCTAATGTCTCCTTACCGTTCCATTTTTCCATTATACCGTATTTCGTCACATCATTATCACCCGTAAAAATAGTATACCAATCAGGTTGTGTGCCATTCTTTCCATACAATAAACCAAATTGATCGTACGGTAACTTTTGTTCCTTCGGTACAACGTCTTTGGCCAATTTTAAAAGTGGATCCTCATATCCCCAAAGTAATTGTTCGACTGACACCTCGACGAATGGTTTTATCTTTAATATGTCCATAATCGAGGCCATTGCGAGTCTCAGGAAACGTGCCGCGTACTTTGATTGACTCGTTGCCGATAACATTGGAACATTTGGTACGACGACGAGATCATCGTCAGAGCCCGATGATAATTCCTATTAAATGAAAAAAAAAAAACAAAAAAAAAATTTACAAACATTTATCTTACGTACATTTTATTTATAATCTCTATAGAAATTATTAGATTAGATTTTACGAATTAATTATTTATCGACAAAATTTTATTAACAATTTATAATCTATTTCATATTTGTATTCTCATATGGTCTATGTGAATAATATAAATGATTAATTTATCGTGATAATGAAAAAGAAAAGAGAAGAAAAGAATTCATAAAAATATTATTCACGAAATGAATAAAAACTATGAAATAGAGAAATAAATAAAAATGTCCTTTGTGTCGTACTACGAAGAGAATATCAATCTTTGATAGAAAGAAGGAAAGATAGAACGAAGAAAGACGAGAAAAAAAAAAAGAAAGAAAAGGAAAAAAAGGAAATGTGAAGAAAATTTGCATAAAAAGAGGACAATGGGGAAAATGTCGGGAGGGGAGGAAAAAAAAAAAAGAAAAAATAAAAAAAACAAATACTATCTATGAGAAATATAAATTTACATCAATGTCCTATTCCTTCATTAGTGATTATCTTGATAATACAAATAGTTATTTCCCGTGCTGATGCATGACATATTACGTGCAGTATTGAATTATTAACATTGAGAAGATATCTTGTCTGAATTAATCACATATTTCATTATTATCTATTGGAAAATTCATTGGATTTCATTTTATTATATCGCAATATTATATATTCGTTTGAACGATGAAAAATCATTAAGATGAAAAATTCAATATCGATACTATCATCCGTATCTGTTGTTTTTTTTTTTTTTTACTCTTTTTCTTCTTCTTCTTCTTCTTTTTTTTTCTTTTTTCTTCTTTCTTTTTTTTCTCTTCTTTTTTCTTTTTCTTTCTCATTATTCCCGTCATTTATAGATCTATGATAACTCTCATTGATTCGTCGTTCTTCGATCGAGAAAAAGGGATCAATTAACAAAGAAATAAATGTTTAATAAGAGAGTATCAAGGAGGAATCGAGATTTATTTACATTTCGATGTAAATCGAATACTCTTATGAGTCATATTATATCACGAATGTCACGACCTTTTCTTTCTTTCTTTCTTCTTCTTCTTCTTCTTTTTTTCTATTTCTTTTTCTTTTTTTTTTTTTTTCTTTTTTTTGGTTTTACCCATTTTTAATAAAACACGCTTGAAAAAATGAAACAACATCTTTTATGAAACGAGAATGGAAATCTGTCCGCACATGGAAATCTGTAATGTGTAATGTAAATGCAAATATATCGTACGTATCTCTCTCTCTCTCTCTCTCTCTATGTATATATATATGTGCATGTGTGTGTGTGTCTATGTGTGTGTGTACATATTTACTGATAGATATCTTGAAAATTTATTCTTCAACTTTTCTTAAGTAAAAGGATATAACGCGAGTCAAAAGAGTTAAAAGGTTTTTAGAGAATTTCTTTCGTATCGTGAAAATATCGACGTCTCGTTTCGTACTCGTGGAAAATATAGAAAAAGTCGACGTTTTCGAAATGATCGTAAAAACAAAGAAAAAAAATACAAAAAAAAAGAAAAAAGAAACAAAAAAAGACAAATAACAAAAGAGAAACGCGTACTTATTTATATATATATATATTTTTTTTTTTTCTATTCTCGTTTATCGTCGTATTTTTTTCGATCGCAAAATAAAAACGAAACAAAAGAAAAAAAAAAAAAGAAACAAAAAAAGACAAATAACAAAAGAAGAACGCGTATTTATTTATATATATATATATATATATATATATATATATTTTTTTTTCTGTTCTCGTTTGTTGTCGTATTTTTTTCGATCGCAAAATAAAAACGAAATAAAAAAAAAAAAAGAAAAAAAGGGGAGAAAAAAAGGAAGAAAATTTATGCAACATATTCATTGCTAATCAATATAACATTCATAAATCCGAATCCACGAACGTTTAAAAATCAATTATACACTTTTATGTTTATTTTTCTCCTCCTTCTCCTTCTCCTCCTCCTTCTCCTTCTCCTCCTCCTTCTTATATCGCCATTTTGTTGATTCTTGCAAATAATAATCTTTCGTCACGTCCTTGATCCCGCGACACGATCGGTATTGCATTTCAAGATTCTTTTCTTCTACTATATAACTATCTACTATATAACTAGAAGGTATAATCTATTGGAATTCTAATTGATTTCAATAATAATTTAATGAAACATGAGAAAAATTAAATAATAAATTATTATTATTATTATTATAATTATTATTATTATTATTATTATTATTATTATTATTATTATTATTATTATTATTATCATATCTATTCTTACGTGCGTGTGTAATTAGAAGGAAAAAAAAAAAAGAAAAACTAAAGAAAAAGAAGAAAAGAGGAAAGAAACTCGAAGTTATTACCATAAAAGTTACGTAATTTTTTTGTTTTGTTTTGTTTTGTTTTCCTTTTTTCTCGAATATTTTCGAAACTAGCATGATCAATGAAAATCAACGATATACTTTCAGATACATATATAAATTTCAATCGCAATTACTTCACAGGTAAACTCGTATAGAGTTATCACCTTCGTCATTGGTGAAAGTTTCTTGAACGTTTATTATGCATGTTACCTTCGCATGGTTTCATAGACCTTCTTTTAAGTTTCTTACAACGTTCGTTATATTGAAAAAAAAAAAAAAAAAAAAAAAAAAAAAAAAAAAAAAAACTCTTACATGTTAGAAATGAAATAATTATAAATGAAAAATATTACGATCGATAATATAATGACGAAATGTTTTCGACATTATAAATCGTAAATTCCATTAGAACGATTATTATTTAATTATTTTCTATGTCGTATGTAATACACTGATATGTTTATTACCGGTATTTATGATAACGTAACTGTGCAGTTATTATAAAATAAAGTAAACTAACGCAAATTCTTTTCAATTCTTAAACGTAAGTATAGCTACATTTATATATATATATTAATTGTAATTTAATAAAATGTGAAAAGAATTGAATGATAAATTGATTTATATCTACTATTACGTGGGTATGTAATTGAAAAAAAAAAAAAAAAGAAAAACAAAATTAAATCAAAAATCAAAATTACTATCATAAACATATTATTTGCAATTATATATAATGTGATCGAACATATCGTTAAGAATATATCATTAATACTGTTAGATATTATCAGTTTCAAGTAGCAGAAATAATATTCAAGTATGTAGATATTGATCTTTCAAGTGGCAATTATATAATGACTTTTACGATTCTATAAATCTTCTAAAAATAATAATCTGCGCTTTGATCATTTTCAAGAAGACAAAAGATGAAGTTTCGTTTGAAGGAAGAGAAATCGTACGATACGTTCCACGATGTCTAAGGTCATAAGGTCCGTCGTTCAAAAGGACGATGAGATGTGGTAAAGAAACAAAAAAAAGAAATAAATAAAATAAAAGGAAAAGAGAGAGAGAGAGAGAGAGAGAGAGAGAGAAGAAAGTAAGACTCGGTGATTAATTAAAACCACAGATTCCGGTTCGTCGTCAATGACGGAACGGTGACGACTCGCATGATCTTTCCAAGAAATATAAAGTTTAAGTTCGTTTATTCTGATTTTTTTTTCTTCTTCTTCCTCTTCTTCTTCTTCTTCTTCTTCTTCTTCTTCTTCTACTTCTTCCTTCTTGTATTTTCCACATTCAAGATGAACGTTCAATTATAAATATTCATATAATGATATTAATTCACGATGCGCAAAGAGAATCAATTCTTTTCTTCTTCTTGATTTTTTTTTCTCTCTTTTTTTTTTCGAAGAAAAAGAAGAAGAAGAAGAAGTAGAAGAAAAGTCAATATGACTTTTGTATTTATTCCGTCTTTAATATTTACGTAGATCGAAAGATCAAACGTCGGAAAGTGAATGCACGAGAGAGCTTTAGTTAAATAATAATACGAAAAGAGGTACTTTGCCGTTGACAACAGATTTCAAATCGTCTCGTTATCAAATTAATTATTAATTAGAAAAATCTCCGTAAACCGACAGATATTATCTCGATTCGTATTTCCGTCGAATGTTATCGGTACTCATACATTTTTCTTTTCATTCCTTATTCCTTCTCTCTTTTATATACTTCACGGCAATAAAATTTTTCATCTTCGTTCAAAATGAAATACACGTTAAATATAAATTAAATATAAATTAAATATAAATTAAATATAAATTAAATATTATACGAATAATATCATAGTATATCAATTGTTGTTCATTGAAATATTCGACAAATTTCTGTGATACGTAAGAACGAACAAATGAGTGAGGGGGTTGGGAGCGGGACGGGCGGACGTTTGGAGGTGGGGGGTGGCGGGGGGGAGTGGGGAGAAAGAAAGAGAAAAAAAGTGAAAAAGAAAAGGAAAGAGAAGATAAAAAAAATACAAAAATACAAAAAAGCAAAAGGAAGGATAGAGAAAAAGAAAAGAAATCTTTATAAATCGACTTACCGGCGTAAAAACGTATTGCTTTCGAATTTTATAGCTGACCGTATCATTTTCGTTGAACTTTATCTCAACTTTCTCCCAGCGCTGCGAATAAACGTACGGTCCGAGCTCGTCTAACACTGGTTTCTCGCCGTTGTTCAAGAATTCATCGGCATTCGTGACGTTATAAATGTAGACGTGCAAACGTGGTATAACAGGCGGTGCTTTCCACCAGCCATAAGTCCTTCCACCGTCCTTCAATGCGATCTGCTTGTTCACGATGATATTTATCAACTGAGGAAATAGAGCCGCTAAAATTGCTGCAATAACGATCAGAAGGACGCCGAAGGCCACAGCTGCCCCTGTAAAAACGAGAGGGAGAAAAAAAACAATTGAAGGAAAAGAAAAAAAAGGAAGAAGAAGAGAGAAAGACGAAAGAGAAGAGAGAAAAAAAAAAGAAAAAAAAGGGGGGAAAACAAATACGTAGAAAAAGGAATGACCTTCATTATTATTTTATATATAAGCGATATTTAAACGTACGTAAAAAAAAAAAAAAATGATAAATATATTGATGTAATTGAAGTTAGAACTTAGTTCGAGATTTTATATCGAATTAAGAGAAGACACGAAAAAACAAGACCTTCCTCTCTCTCTCTCTCTCTTTCTCTCTCTCTCTAGCTCTCTCTTTCTTTCTCTTTCTTTCTCTCTTTTTATCTTTAATTATCAAAGAAATTCTAAGAAAAAAAAAAATAAAAAAAAATAAAAAAAGAAGAATGAAAGATATAAAAAAGGGATGGAGCATGAAAATTTGCTAGTTAACGTATATAATAAATTTAAATCAGTGAAGAAGAATTAGAAGAAACCGGTCTGTTGTGTATATTAAGATATATATATATATATATATATATATATATATATATATAAATATACGAAAGTTCCAATGTCAAGGTCCAAGAGTCAAGGTAGACGACTATCATGCCAGAGGGCTTAGAATTAACGAGATAGACAGACTTCTTCATGTTATATGTGAGCTTTACAACAGACATCCTTTATTTTTTTTTCTTTTTTTTTTCTTTTTTTTTGCTTGTTATTTATTCACCTTTTTTTTCCTTTTCTTCTTGTTCCTCTTCATAAATAATCAACGACAATGGCAACGAAAATGAAATATAAAAAGTTAAACGATTGTATATTCGCAAGGACATCGAGATAGGTTCGTTAATTGGCCATCCATAATATAAAATAAAATATCTTTAATACTATCCTTTAATCTTCTATTAAATATAAATTTTATTATCAAAAATGGCTACAATTTTATTGACTTTGCCATGAACATTGGCATAAAGAAAAATATCTCTTTGCTCGGAGTTGATGCTAATGAAGATGGTAAAAGTATAAATGGTAGTGGTAGAACAAGGTCAACATTTAAAATGATTCATATCTTTTGTGAAATAAAAGAGAAAGGTCAAAATACATTATGATATTTTGTAATAATAAAATGTTGAAATGAATAAAGCAACTAATTAGTATAATATCTTATTTGAATGTTAACATTTGTATTTATATATATATATATATATATATATATATATATATATATATGTATATATATATATATATAAATATAAATATAGAATATATATATAAATATATATAAAAATAAAATATAAATATAAATATAAAATATATATATAAATATATATAAAAATAAAATATAAATATAAATATAAACTGGTATGAGATCGTCGACACCGATCTATTATGTTTAGATATATTCCATTAGGTCAAGGTTATTTCTTTTTTTTTCTTACTATTTTTTTTTTTTTGGCCTCGTTACGAAACCATTGAATTTTTCCTCTCCGTTTCTTTACTCTATTTTCTCTCTCTCTCTCTCTCTCTCTCTCTCTCTTTATTTCTTTCCCTTCTATAGAAAGAATTATTTCACTTTTATCTTCGCTTACGCGATACGTACGTATATCTCTCGATACGAAACGCTTGAAAATTAATATCAATCATTCTCGGATATTGACGTAAAAATAGCAAAGCATTGATCTTTTTCCTTTTCTTTTTTATTATTATTATTATCCTTATTATTATTATTATTCCATTGACGTTGTATGAAATGATTAGAGATAATTTGAACAAATCTGTCTAAAGATATTATTATAAATTTTATGGAAGTTTTTGTTCTCATTCTTTTTCTTTTTTTTTTCTATTTTCCTTTCTTTCAAAAAATATAACATCCGATAGGAGATAGAATACGTAATAACAATCGATATGATAAATAATAATCGTGACTTTTCTTAGAAATGACAATGATAGCGTTCGCTTGCGAGCACCCGGTATACGTAGCATATTAATTTTATAATTAATTTTATTATTTTATAAGTGGTATATAATTTTTTTAAATGGCATATTAATACATATAAATTTATATTATATAATAAATTTAAATTCCATGTAATAAGTACGAATACGTATGTTCGTAATTTTATTTATTTATTTTATTTACTTATTAATTATATATTTTATTATATTAATTTTTATTTACTTTATTATTTTATTAATTATATATATACATATATATATATATATATATATATATATGTATTACAATATAAATATATATATATGTATATATAATAATAATATATATATATATATGTATTACAATAATATTTCACATTAACGTCGAATGTTATCAATATGAAAAGATACACGTTAAATTTCGCGTTAAATTTTGGGTTAATTGATTACATATCTGACATACGTATCACACGTACGTGCCAATTGAACCTTAAAAATTCTTTCTATCTTTCATTCTTTCGATCTTCTCTCAAATTAACGCATAATATTTTCTTACATATGATATTTTCGAATATAAATTACGAAGATAAAGCGAAAAGAAATTTCGTTCGACGTAGGGAAAGAAATAAAAAAAAAAAAAAAAAAAAAAAAAAAAAAAATAATAATAAATTCCAATCGAAATTCACATTTACCTACAACTCACACACACACACACACACACACGTACGTCATACCGATTAAAAAAACTCGTACTCTGTAAACTTTACAGGGGTGGCGGGGGGGAGGGGCTAGGGAGGGGAAGGAAAGAAATGGCGAAAGTTCGTTTAAACGTGATTATTTAATATTTGTAATACCTATGAACACGTTCGGTAACACCGCAAATCAAAGCAAACAGGTGGACCAGTTTTCCATCGACATGATTCTTCATAGTTTTATTATCGTTAAACTGGATATTGGATTTCTTTACGTTTCACGTTCGTAATATTTTCAAGCGTCATTTTTAACGCTTGAAAACGTTATCGTCTAAAGCTCACCGCAAATTTCCTGTGGTGCCTTAAATATGTTAACCTTCTATTTTTCTTTTTTTTTTCTTTTCTTTTTTTTTCTTTTCTTTTTTTTTTTTTTTCTTACCTATCCACACTTAAACGTCGTCACAATAACGTAACGAGGAGAAAGTGATTTTTCTATGGGAAGGGTAAAGAAAATAAAACAAAAAAAAAAAAGAAAAAAAAAAGAGGTAAGAAAAGAAAAAAAAATTGGAAGAAAAGAAAATAATAATTTCTATAAAAGACAAAAAAAAAACTGTATATATATATGTAATAATCAAATCGATCAGCGTACTCCGTTTCCTCCCTTTTTCTCGACATGAAATTCATAATCTTTTGAAACGAAATAAAATCAATTAGAAATGTTAAGCTCGTTTAGAAAGTACCGCGTAATTATTGCACTTTGGTGAACATAAAGCGTCGAAATAATAAGTGCAATAAATACACGAGAAGGGAATTGGATAAAAAGAAAACGAAATCACGAGAAAAAAGAAAAAAAAGAAAAAGCGATAAAAATAAAAATAAAAATAAAAATAAAAACAATTGAAAAATTATGTTAATGTCCTCGTTAATTATCTACGGACCAACGACGATTGCCTTTTCGCAAGAAATTAATATCCGTGATTTGAAATTTTCCATGTTCCAAAAGAAAAGAAAAAAAAAAACAAAAAAAAGTCTCAAAAGTTTGCCTCTCTACATCAGTGCAGCATAATTTTGCATAATATCTTATGATAATTATCCGAAGTCGTGGTATGTTAATAAAGAAAGAAAGGAAAAAAAAGAAAGAAAAGAAAATAGGAGAAGAAGAAAAAAAAAATATTGCAAATCTTTGCGCATTTACGACTTTCCTTATAACAAGCTCTAGGATGTAATTGTTTTCTTCTTCTTCTTCTTCTTCTTCTTCTTCTTCTTCTTCTTCTTTTTTTTCTTCTCTTTTTTCGTCCAATCCAAATGAACAATTTTCTTCGACTGTTCCATTCATACGACTGTTCATTCGTACGACTGAGTAACAAACTATTTCAATCTATTTTTTTAATAACATTAATATTATTAAATTGATATTATTATTAACGATAATATTCAATAAAATTAAAAATTTATAACCATAACAAAAGTTAATAAAATATTATGTCATATTATAATTATTGAAGTGTTTTATGATTAAAGCGGTCAAGAAAAAGAAAAGAAAAAAAAAACTACAAAAAAAAAAAAAAAAAAAAAAAAAGAAAAGAAAAAAGAACTAATCTCGCGTAAAGGACCGATAAAGTAAATATCTTTGAATCGTAGAATTTATTCGACGTCAATAAATTCGACCTATTTAACGAATAATTTTTTATCAAGGGTAAAAAAAAAAAAAAAAGGAAAAAAAAGAGAGACAGACAGACAGAGAGAGAGAGAGAGAGAGAGAGAGAGAGAGAGAGAGAGAAAGAGAGAGAGAACGTTACGATAAGACGTGAGACAAAATAATTTGCGTTTGTCTTAAAGACGAATGGAAAAAGGAAAATGAAGAATAAAGAAAAAAAAGAAAAAGGAAAAAAAAAAAAGAAAAAAAAATTTAAACGACCGACAACTCTCTTCGATCAATTCGATCAACTCGGATCTTTTGATCTCTCGATTTGTCGACATTTTATTTCTCTCTTAGCAAAGCAACTACTATTTACTACCTATTAAACGGGGAAATCGTAAAATTTTTTTACACAATAATATCGTGAATGCAATTCTGTATGAAATGGAACTATTCGAAATCTAGATCAAAGTAATACTTAAAAGTATTTACTTTTGATCGTCCGTGCGAGACGGTGTCTTTAATAGCACGCGCGTTAGAAAAAAAAGGAAAAAAGAAAAAAAAAAAAAAAGAAAGAAGGGGAAAAAAGAAAGAAAGAAAGAAAGAAAAAAAAAGAAGAAGAAGAAAAAGAAAAAAAGAGGGGAGAAAAAAAAGAGAGCGTTAAAAGAGATATGTCGAGCGATTTAATCACTCGTTTCGAAGCCTTTCTAAAAAGTCACTTTGATAT